TAAAAGCATACAAAATGACTAAACTTTACCTGATTATACAAAATTTACTATTACTAAACAATTTTATTTCTTGATCTATGCTTGACTTACTACAAAACAAGACACAGAACTAGCATTCCTTCTTTATAATGGAGTAGACTAACAGGCACCTCATCACATTCACTAGCTACATGATTTTGGACAAGTTATTGAACTTCTTTTGTTTTCTTCTCTGAAAATAATAATGATAAAATCTTTCTTACAAGGTTCTTGGAAGAATTAAATAATGCATTTTAAAGCCCTCACCACAGGGCCTGGCACTTCAACACTTAGTCACTTTTACTATAATAGGTTGTCCATTCTTTGGAATGGGCCAGTGGTATCAACCCTGGGCCCAGGCAGGCCTTGGGGCTGCCAAGACATTTTTCTCTTGAATTTGCTGCCTGGCAGATGCTGCTGCTGCCTCAGTATTGGGTGTTTTAGAACCAAATGTCACCCAAATCAAAGCCCTCTACATCTGACATTAGAGAGAGCAGGCATTTTCATTAAACTAACACTGAAAAGAATGGGGTTTTAATGTGGGAAATCTTAAGGGATGCTGAAAAGGGAATTTAAAAGATTAGTATTCCAAGACCCCACCAATTATCATAAATATTACAATTCTTAGCAACTAGAAAATGTAGGAGCTTTCTATATCAATGCCAATTATTATAAAATTAAAATATTCCTTCTAAAATGCAAAAATTATAGTCTCAATTTTTTGTGCAACTAAAGTATTACACACAAAGGAGGATTTTCCTTGAGGAAACTCATTAATTCATTCTTAATTTAAATTTAAAAATTCATAATTCTGTAATTTTTTTCCTCACATGGTGTTATGTTAGATTACGCTAAATGTTATTTAAAAATAGAAAAATTAAATAGTATAAAATACTACTTTATAATATCTTATGAATTACTATACTTATAAATCTATAAAGAACTCTCTGGAAAATATATGAGAATATGCATGGTGTTACACACTCCATAAAAGGGAAACTCTTGCTAGATAAAGAAAAACAACGAATGAGGCTTAGCATTTACACTTCAGCTTAATAAGTTATCTTTGTCCGTATTTTTTTTCACGATCTTTCTAATTTCAATTCATCTCATTACTAAACTTGGATTTTTTCTTTTTTTTACTTCTGTGTGAAGTTTTATGACTAAGGAACTGCTCAGATTGTTCTCCCATTAAATACCAAGATTATTATTATGAATCTTATTTTCCAGTATCTTAGTTAGATGCATAATTGGCTTTTGAAGCTTTTCTAAATAAAGCATACTTGATGTCAACTATATTATGCTTGCTCTCAACTCCTCTAAAAATCATTTTGGCTTTAAGTAATTCTTTTATAATAAACTGCTATAAATTGACAATCACCAGTATATATAACACATTAAGAAAATCTCAAATACCTCTTCCTAAAATACTACACCTTTTAGAACACATAAACTGAGTCACAGCACAAAAGTTAGGTTAGATATACTAACAACAGTATGAAGAAAGCTATTTTACTGAGGGTTTTATAAGCCTTATCTGAAATAGTAGGTGTTTTTTTGTCATCTTCATTTATTTTTCTGCTCTGATACAGGGTCTTTCTATGTAGTCCAGGCTGGCCAGGAACTGAGCTTGGACATTTTTAAAATTTTATTTCTATGTGAAGTTGTATGACTGTGTTTGTTCACACTAACAACCTTTGCTTTCTCAAATTTTTCTGATATATATTCTATTAAGTCTTCCTGCCTCCAGTCCTGCCTTCTCTAATCCATCTTTGATATGGCTGAACAGCAATATTTGTGAAATAGTGTTATCTTGACATTCATCTGCTTGTTTCTCATTATGGTAAACCCAAACTCCTTATTGTGGCATACAATCTTATCATTAATACACCTGCCCACTCAGCCTCCCCACCTAACTTCTCCAAGTTTCTTCTCATAATGTTAGGTACACTTATTAGCTCCTGACCTATAATGTTCCTCCTAGAAAGTGACCCTTTTCAATACCATGCCCTCTTACATACTTTTTACAAATTACTAATCACAGTGCTTTATTTACATTTGTCTTCCCAAATGCAAAGTGCAGCCCAGTGAGTGATTCAAATTAGGCACTAAAAAAATGGATAAATTGGTTTTTTTTTGGAGTGGGTATTGAACCCTGGGCTTCACATATGCTAGGCAAAACACTCTACCACTAAGCCACACCTCCAACCCTTTTTTATTTTGGTAGTTTTCCAGGCTGGCCATGAATTATGCAGGCTATGCTGCACCGGAGCTTGTTAATTTTCCTGTCTTGTCTCAAGTACCTGAGATTGTAGGAATGTACCACCACGTCCCACTAATGTATCATTCTTAATGACTGATGTTATAAAAATATGGATATTCTATATCTAAATTCCAACCCCAGGCAAAAGGGCCCCTTTCTTCTCAAGCCCTCAGAATCACCATAGAAACTTCTTTTAGTAGTGCTTTTTTTCTTTTTTTTTTTTTCCAGAGCTAGGGATGGAACCCAGGAACTTGTGCATGATAGGCAAGTACTCAACCACTGAACTACACCCTCAGTCCAAAAGTCTTCAATTCAACAGATCCTAATACAAAATATAAATGGACATTTATTTGTATGGAAATCCATGATTTTATAACACAATGACCTTTCCCCAACTAAGAACTTCTGTGTTTTAAGCTCTCATCTGTACATCTGATTTTAGCAAGAGAGAATTTCAGTTCCAGAATATATGAATTACAGAAATTATGAGTCATTTCTGTTAAGGATAATTTGAAGTTGAAAGAATTGGTCATAAGAACTAAAAAAAGGAAACCAAAGTTAATAACTGAAAAGTAAGAAATAAAGGAAAATTTACCCCACGTACCTGACGGCAAATTTCAACATTAGTTAAACACTAGAGAAGCTTAAGATGTTATTGTATTTTACATTTATTCCTTAATAATAGTTGAAATTAGACTACTCTATGATCTCTAAAGAAAACAAGTCAAAAATAATTAGAATTTTTAATTTTATTTGCCCTTATCATTATTTTGATATTTCCTATGAATTAGTATGAATTATACTTTTAGTAATGATATAAAAAAGGGACTTTTTAAAAAATTGGAATTAAGGATTTTTTTGATTAAATATTTCATATACATAAAAAATAAGCTTTTATTTAGAGGTCTTACAGGTAGCTGAACGTGGTCAATGAAAGACATTAAAACTCAAATGTGTTTTCTCTAGGCTGGTGACCTCAGCCAGGGATTTCCTATCTCTGATAGAAAAAGCCATTGCCTATGTTTACATCAGATTTTATTATAGATAGCAATTCTCTGGCGATATTGGCACAAGCAATATCTAGAGAAGAAATCTGGATTCTAGTTTCTAACAACTTCTCAGGGATGCTGGGGATCCATGGACCTTACTTCCCAACAGCAAGGTCTAAATTAGTGGTTCTCAGTTTTGATATTTATTGCAATCACCTATGTAGCTGTAAAACAAACAAGCAGCATTTCTAGGGGTAAAAGTTTACTTAATTAGTCTGTGGTGCAGTCTGGTCATTGAGAGTTTTAAGAGCTTCCAAAATGAAGCTACCAGGCAATTAAATTTGAGAACCTATGGACTGAAATGTACATGACAATTTTATTAAATTTCATTTTAGTGATGCAGAAATTAGGGGTAATAACAGTCCAAAAAAATCTCAAATTCTTACTGAGATTATGATTCATTATCAATTAGGTTCTAACTTTAAGAATTGTAGTGGCTTCCTTTCTATATTTCTACTAAGTTATTTAATAAAATACTTTCAATAATATTTTAAAGTTAAATATTCATGCAAATACAATGAAATGTCAATCTCAGTTATTTTTAGATTAGGAGGTAGATATATAAAAATATAAATGTATGATTTTAAAATATATGCAAGTATCTGTTCCCAACATCAAATGAAAGGTTCAAACTGGTTAGCAAGTTCATCAAAAATAGTTCCCAAACCTGTTACACCATGAGGAAGGATCACAGACACAGAAAAGAGAAGCAAAAGTTTACTTGAGGTAGGCATCACTGATCCAGAAGTTACAAACTGAATTATCACTCTAAGACCTTTCCTAATTATTTTACTAAGTTGAAGTTTGCAAAAGATCAAATTCCAACTCCATTTCCAAAGCTTTCTCTCTAACTCTTTGAAATGCACACCAAAAATATTTAATAAAGAGTATTTTAAACCTGAGATATTTGCAGAAATTCCCTAATAACAGTAACGAATATTGGCATACAACTAATGACTTAAACTTTTTCAATATGCTTTTTTCATACCTAAAATAGTCCAGCAAGAATGTGAAAGCACAGACTGCCACATACAAGAAAGCATAAATTTGACAAGCCAAAATAAACAATAAGACAAAAATAAAAAAAAAAAAGTATGGCAGTGTTTCAGTGGAAAGAACTGAAATCCAGATTGGGAACTAATTCCACCTTTATCACTAATAAGCCACATAAATCACATACCTCAGTCTCATCTTAAAAACAGAGGCCTCAAAGAGATTGTGTTCAGAGTCCTTACTCTATCAAAGCTCTACCATCTGAAAATGACTGATTCAGTGGTCCTGGGAACAAATATGATTAACTGTAATAAACGAGCACCAAGACTCTATTTTTAACATGATTCACTTAACAAACTGAAAAAAAATACCATTTTAAACTTGTCTTCAAGCTTACTAATTGTATGGCTGTCATTTAAAATAGCAAATCCAGCTAAATCTTTAAAAAAATGGAGGAAGGTGGGGAGAAAGGGAACATTAAATGCAATGCAAGAAAACCATGCAGAATAAAATAAACAATGTAAACTTAGGATGAGAGAAAAAGGAAAAGTACTTTTAAGCATGCAATAGGTGATTTTACAGTCTATCCCAAACAATATGTAAGTATTCTTATCAGGTACACAAAATTGTTGTTTCTCAGTACTACAAATAAAAATTATCCTAATTAATAAAGATAGTAGTACATGGAGATTATTTCCTTTTCTTTATTATTTCGTTTGAAAACATGTCTTTCCAATCATAAAATACATAAGAAATCCTTGGATGAAATCAAAAAGTGCCTCTCTTGCAGCTTTCTTTCAAAGAATGCTGACAAAATGTAACAGTAAAGAAATGAGACATGCTATCTCAATTGTAATTTCAATCATTAATCCTCTTCAGAACTGGAATCATCCTCTTGGTCAGAAAGTTCAGGGACAGGGAATCGGAGAATGGCAGCGACTCCAGTCAACTGGCTGAGCTGTTCCCCAGATACATGAAGACTGGAGAATATCCTAACTGTGCCTGCATTCTCTTTCACACTGTCCACCAGCCTCACATACCGGCTCCTTGTGGCTACATCCTGGTGCCTGAAGAGCTCATCACTGATAAGCAACGTGTCAATTGCCATAGCTTCATTGGCCTTCTCCACCTGCTTGAGTCCATAGAAAGCTCGGTCCGGTTCATGCTGTAACATTTTATAAAAGTCATCCAAGGCTTTTACTTCTCCAGCAGCTTTAGTGTCTGAAAGGCGACTCGCTACAGTAGGGTCACAAAGGGCCTCTTTTAGTGAATATTTGTGTCCAGAGGAGGCATGTACCTAAAATCACAATTATAAAAGACAAAAGAATCTCTGAGAGAATCTGTTTACCAGCACACAAGAACCTAAAGTCAAAAGCATTAACAAGCTTTACATATTTAAGGACTACTGCAAAGTTCACTATGTGAATACGGTGGATACTGAACAGTTCTCTTTTTATTTCATTATGTCATTTACAATCCTATTTTGCTTTAACCAGTAGTAAAACTTGAAGAGCAGTAAATACCAATACCCCTACCTCTACCCATTCTTAACTATCTCTGGGTAAGAATTTTTTTACCTGAAGAAATTTGGACCGGTTTTCCAGAAGCACTTTGTTGTCAGTCTTCACTGCTTGCTGAAACATGTAGTCGCAGAACTGTTCCCGAACAAATCCTGGGCTGGCCACCAGGATGCACTTCACAACATCAAAGTTTATGTGGCGCAGGATGGCCTGGACCACCTGTTCGTAGAACCTCTCCAAGGCCCGGTCATGCTGGGAGCAGTTGCCTTTCCGTTTCCTAGGGATGTTCACCTCCACCTTGGCCCGAGTGAGGGTCATGCTAGGAGTGACTAAGCAGACATGGGCGAGGCCTTCCTGCATGACTACAGCTGCCACATCAGCGCTCCAAGCCGGGTCACAGGCCTGCTCGATGCGCTCCAGAACCACACTATCCCACTGTTTTTTGGCCAGGGTGAACTGGCGATTGGGCTCCAGTTCGATGGTGTGGTACGCCCCCATCTTGACATACTCATTCTCTTGGATATTGGTCCCCTTGACCCGCAGCTGGCAGGCTTGGGAGTCAAAGTCGATGGCCTCCACGCAGAGAGTGAGGGTAGTGCGGACCCGGTTGCTTCCCACGCTGCCGGTGGAGGACTCGGTCTGAACCTTGCGGATAGTGGAAGCGCGCAAGCTGTCGCCCACCTGCACTAGATTGTAGGTGTGCCACATGTCCTCGGGCTCTTCGGGGACCAGAGTCACCTGGCCCGCATTGTCCTTTTCAATGTCCTTCCTCACGAGCTTCATGGCCTTATCAGGGAGTCACTAGCAGAAGAGGAGGAAGTGAGAGGGGTCCCCCACGGAAACGCGAAAAGGGGCTAGGAAGGGGAATGGGATTCTAGGCCAGGACGGGGGCGGGGTCCGGCTCCTACGGGCAGGAAAGAGCTACTCTACCTCTGATTCATGCAGCCAGGGAGACACTGACTTTAGCCCCTCCTTCCCCAGCCTACCGGCGCGGCGTACCGATCCCGCGCTGGGGAAACCGCAACAAACCGGGACTTCGCAAGGGTTCCGGTTCCCAACTCCGAGCAAGTGGCCGAAGCTGACGCAAAGAAGGCGCATGCGCATCCCGCGTCCTACCGCCCGGCGCACGATTTACGTCACCCACGAAGGGGCGGGATCTACAATGCTCTTGCGCAGGCGCACTAGGCGAGAAGGCGCTCCCGCTAATAAACCCAGTAAGGCAGGCGCGTGTGAGCTGCGGTGGTAGCGAGTCCTTTATTTTAACGTAAAAGTCGGACTTCCTGAGTTTTCCCTTCCATCCTTGTGTGTGAAGAATTGAATGTGTGAGTGCAAATATGTTTTCTTAAACTCGACGTGTTTGCTACTTTGCACTTCCTTCCTAGGCGTAAATCCACCCTCAAACTTTACCTAGAAGGGTGCGATCAAAAGTGCGAACGTGACCCACAGAATTCAGCTCATGGTCGGATTTGTTCGTTCCGTATCTGCACCCAGACATGACCTGTCTGATGGAGGTGGTATTTTTAGAAGCGGTTTCTAAGTACGCCTGGTCACGTTAGGCCTGGGCTCTGAGCTGCCCAGCTGTTTTCTGCGCTTAGTCTGCACTATCCAATTAACCCAGATGTTAAAAGCACTGAGCCCTGAGAGAAGAAACTATGTGTGGAATTTACCCTGGGTGGACCTCTCAGTGGCTTGCACTGATGTCCTGGGAGTCCCAGATTCCAGACCTGGCAGTCTCAGCTTTCTGCAGCTCAGTCGCCCCTGAAATGCTTAGGATGGGGGTTGGGATGCAATAGCTTAGCAGCGCTCTTCACTGCCGAAGATAGTCTAGAAGCTGAGAATACGGGAAGTGGAGATAAAGTGGCCTACTCAATGACCGATCCCAGGGAATAGCTGCCGAACTGATTTTAAAGAAAATCCTTATTTTTAAAGTGCTTATTTTTTATTGGAGAGTGAAGGTGGAGAAGTGGGACTGCCTCTGTAAAAGACCAGTGAGTTGAAAAACCCACCGTTTTCTAGAGAATTAATATGAAGGGAGAGCAGAGGAGTCCTGCACATCACTTACCTCATTTTTCCTGTCTTTTGTATGGCCTTTAGAACACAGAGCTTGCCAGTTGGAACTAGTGAGACAGGAATAAAAGGGAGGAATCTGACCTTGGCACAAGGCTTGGTCATTTTAACTGAAGTGTCATCTTCCTCAGAGACTGCCAGGGAAATAAAAGGTCCCTTTCAAGAATCTAGTTCAAGTTAGAATCTCTATTCACTTTGTGGTCTCCCTTCAACCTCTTTTTCTCTCTCACTTTACATCCTTTTCTGTCTTCCGCTCCATATTCTTGTCACAATGAAAACCCTCTCAAAGTTCCTAACTCACATTGCCTTCTTCCTCCAATTTCAAGAGAACCAGCAACTTTTCACTAAGCAATGAGCTAGTCACACTGAAGCATGAAGGTGGCTTGTGTCTCCAAAGAAACCATTGAATCACAATGGTAAGCACACAGCAGAATCTTAAAAAGTTGTTATTTAAGAGTTACCATATTGTGAATATTGACTACTTTCCTATGCTCTTTTTAATCCTTTCCTGTAAGGTAAATATTTGTTATCCTAATTTTACAGAATAAGAGAGTGAATTACGAGGAAGTTCAAGATCACAAATAGAATTCAAATTTAGGTGTGCTTACTCCCCACTCTCTCCACTACCACCATCCTGTATTATGAATGTTTGTAATCATCTCTACAAGCAAATTATTGCTGTTAATCACTGACATTTCCCCTTCCCTGTTACCTTTACCAAAGACCCACAGTTTGGGAATCAACCTAGAAAATATGAAAGGCACTAGTACCTTCCCTGGTTTTTAAAAATGAGTGTATTCTTTTGTGCAGTTTTAATTCTGCCCAGCCTACAGTAGCATTATAATCTTTAAGAAAGATTTTTCTGTAGAAAAATGTACATATATTTATTTCTACATTTGAAACTTGTAGAATGCCCACACTGACTCCTAATTTCATGGTTCTTTTTTGTTGTAAGTTATAAGGCCTACTTCTTTGGGCTGTCTTTTTAAATATCAGTGTGCTTCAGTGATTGAAAACACTGCAAAATTGTTCATAGAATTACTGTTGGATCTGAAATACCTGCAATACTTTAGACTATAGTAGCTTAAACTTATTGTCGAATGAAAGAGGTTTTCTCCCACATTTTGTGTTATGGCTTAGGATTTCTATGCCAGTCACTGGACTTTTGAGTTACTTTGGGTTCCAGCTTCTAATTAATTTAAGTATGAGAATTCCTGAATTCACACTTCAATGTTGTGGCCTTAAAAGCTTCATTTCCCACGTGTACCCTCAGGGAACCCTGTAGTCCAATTTGAGAATAACCTTTGTTCCCTATACACCCTAGGAATTTTTTACTTTGCTCATATGGTCTCTCTATTTAAAATGCTAAAGGATACATTATTTGAATCTGAATACATGTCTTTCTCTGAATGGACTATCCTTGTATGCTCCCACTGTCCCCTGCAAACTCACTTTCGTGTATTAGATCCTCCTGTTTGACTAGCTAGTTGAGTCAGATGTAAAGTGTGGCAACTACATTCACATTATTATAGAAATTTCTTAGTACATGAATATTGTTATCAACTGTAGGTCACAATGTAGGAATGGTAGTTTAAAACCTTCTATGGTTATAGATGTATTTATTTTTATTCTTTTCCAAAATAAGCAAAATAACTACAAAAATGCCATGGTTTAGTTCTATTGTTTATAATTTTATACTTGTTTATTGACTCTGAAAATAACATTCCTGTCCTGTATTCCTTTAAGTATATATATTTTTCCTATAATGTCTTACTTATAATAATCTCTACAGAATTAAAAAAAAGTCTGTAGTGTTACCTGTAAAAGTTTTTAATGAGATATTTCCGGGCTCTCAAAGAGAATTGGGCTAGATGTCAAGAGAATTGTAGTTCTTTCCCTTCATTTGTTTTTAATGCAACTTTTGGCAGAACTCAGTCTCTTTGAGACTCGGTATCTTTTACATGAGAATTAAGAAAATTGAATTCAATAATTAAAACCATTGTAAATGTAAAAATTATGCTTTGACAATATTAAAAATATTAAAACCTATAAGCTTATCCTAACATTTGTTTTCAATTTTGCATGCTCTGTTTTTGAATTTGAGTCTTTCTAAAACCCAAGACTGATTTCAAGTTTAATGCTTGTGCACTAAGAATCAGCAAACTGATTCTTTTTTGCTGAATTGTATCAACTTTTTTCACTCCATTTTTCAATACTTATGAGGTTCTAGTGCAATTACAATACTTTGCAAATTGTAGAACTATGTGAACAAGTTAAGGTACTATGTTAAATCTCTAAGAATGCCTGGCTTTAAGGTAAAAATCTAGATGTAACAAAGCGAAGGGTGAGACTTTAACACGACTATGATTTTTCAGCCTTGGAAACATAACTGGTTTGGTGGAGTTGACTGATGGATAATCTACTGAGTACATTTATTTATTTAACTCCTCCTTTCCTCAGTTCAGCCCTACTATATAAAAACTGTTCATACACCTTATGGTGAATTGGATTATAATCCTTCCTATTATAATATGCCAGGAATGGTTTGTATGACAGCTGCAGGGACTGGCTCTGGAAGGATGGAAATCTTGTTTGAATACTTTGTGCTTAGCTCAATGACCCTTAAATAGAAGGGGCTATGTAATTTTTCTTGTTTCCATTTTGTTTTATTGTAAGGCTTTCTTGTAATATAACATGAGTGAGTTTTTTCATTTTTCTTTTTAAAGCACTCTGAATGTTACTACTTTGTATGTCTATTGTCTCTTCTACCCATGGACCTCTGAAGGGCTGAGCTGCTTTCTATTTGTCTTTGTATTCTTAGAACTTAACACAAGTTATACATAATCATATGAAAGAATGACTGGCTACTAGTTCTTTAATTCACAGTTTTTAATGTATCTATCACTGACACCCTAAAATTAAGGAAATACATTCTGGTTTATAATGTTACTAAATTTTTTAAAAAGATTACCCTTAAAGTAAATTTTTATAAACCTATTTTAGTTTTTAAGATATCCATACTTGGATAAGAAAATGGTGATTTTTAAATAAATCTTACTAAGGAAAAGTCTTAAGATATTTTAAAATAATCATAATGGCAATTAGTTTTATTATTCACAATTTCGGAAGTGATCTTTATAGAATGTATATCTAGTCAGGGCTCTACTTATGGATATCTAAGTGATAAGTGCAGTTGTTTCTTTAGAAAAATGTGCAAACCTGAGACTGTACAAAAGCTTCCATGTGATGTCCACAAGCAAAGGTAAGTGAGTGACTGGGAAGATTGGTCACTAATACAGGCAAAAGGGGAAAAGGTGAAAGGAAAAGTTTTGTTTTGTTTTGTTTTAAGGAACTTCTTGTATTATCTAAATATTGTTTGACTGAAAGTGCCTACTTGCAATTGTCACAAAACAATACAAAACCTCTTATCAAGTAAACAAAATCTTATCAACAAAAGTATGAGGTGTGTGTTTCTATTTGTATGTATCCCTATGTTGTGTAAGATCATTTTGTCAAAAATTAATTTCCATAAAATGTATAACACAAATATATTTTAAGGGCTGGTCAGTATCCATATATTTTCAGACTTTAGTATTTGGTAAACTGAAAGTCTAGTTAGTGAAATGATTTTAGAAGTACATTTATTTTATATTAAGTACATGATTTATAATAAAATATAAAATACATCTTAATCATTTTACATTCTAATGTGATTTAGGTGTTCAAATCAGATTTAAGAATTCGCATTTACTTGAGCAGATCTCATATAATTCACATAAAAGTGTATTTTCCGCACCTGCTGATATTTGAATTACAGTGATTTTTCTATTAATCCAGATTTCTCACTTGTCTTATATATAGAAATCTTGTTTGGATAAAACATTATTACAGTTTTTGTACATAAGGTGAATTCTTAACACTTAACCAGTGTGCACATTATTACTTTCCTTTAAAACTTTGTTGATTTTTTAATTTTCCTTTTAAGTCATCGAAAAGATTATACTAAATTTAGTCCCTTTCATAAACACACAGCCCTAGCACTATGATAAAAGATTAACAGTTTGCCAAATTATAGTCATTGA